CAGTTTTCCTGACTCCAGGGGTCCAGCATTCTCTCCACTGTGCCACCTAGACGCCAAGATGCAAAAAGACCTAGCGTGATTTCTCTTCTGCATGACAATTCTTCAAAAACTTCAAAAACTTCATTTGACTGGGAGCTCTGTCTCCTATGGGCTACAATACCTAATTCTCATAAGTGGATTCAAGGCCTTTCACACCAGCCTTGAAGCCTTCATCTGGACGTTCTCCGTCTTATCAGAGTCCGTGTTCTCCACATTCTAAGTAAACTGGCCTAACTGCATTTCCCTCACATGACAGTCTACCTCCAGCTTCCATGACTTTGCACAGGCTGTCCTCCTCCATGCCTACAATGTTCTCCTCTCACCATCATCTCTTAAGAACGCCTAGCTTTCTTCAAGGCTCAGCTCAAGAGCCAAGGCCTCCAAGACGCCCTTCCTGAATTCTCCAATCTGTAGGGTCTTCCTCTACCTCCCAAAAAATCACGTATATTTGTTTGATACATATCCTATAAATACTTATCTATGAACATGTTGCATTCTGCTAGTAGAATGTGAATTTCCTGAAGGCAGGAACTATCTTAGTTTTGTATCTGTACCCCCAATGCCTAACACATTGCCTAAAACTTAACGGATGCTTAATAAATGCTTATTGATTTACTGATCACCAAGTTGATTTTTTTTAATGTAAGTGTAAGGCTTGACATTTATTTCCATTAAATTTCATCTTTTAGATTAAACTTAATGTTCTAGTCCATTAAGATCTTTTTGCATCCTAGCCATCATATAATGTGTTATATATCCTTCTCAATTTTGGGTCATCTACAAATGCAGCAAAAATATCAGCTATGCATTTATTCAAGTCAAAAAATTCAATTCATGAATATTTGTTAAGCACTCATTACATGTGAGGTTTCAAACATTCCAAGTTCACCCTACAATTTCAAAACTATTGGCTTCATTTCAAAGACAAATATTCCACTTTCTAGGTAAGGTCTTGAAAAGACCTCGCTGTCATACCATGTTTAGGAAAGCACTGTTGAAAGATATAAATAAAAATTTTAAAAGAAAAAGGGAAATCTAGGGATAAGATATAAAAGTAATTAAATCTCGATCTCTTATTTTTGTCAAAGAAGAGTACTTTTCTACATATTAATAAAGTACCCTGGCAAAATACCAGTTTACTATATTGTTTACATGAATGATGTAAGTAAAATGTTGTTCAAGAATACTACGGTTTTCATTTGACTTGGCTAGACATCCGATATTGCCTGTTTTTCAGGGCTAAGCCTTAAGTTACAAAGTACCAGAGTTTTACAAATCTCAAACATCAAATACAAATTCAGTCTTGAATTGCTCTAGGAAACTTTCCAACTGTTTCAAATCCAATGGAAACTCAACACAACATGCGTACTGTTGTTTTATAGCTTTTCATGACACTCTAATGACATCACCAACCACCATATTGTCAAGAGCTATTAATTAAATGTTGAAGAGTTTCAACATAAAGCTCTGGTTTACATCCATGGTTTACATCTGGTTTACACAGGAGCTGGAAAATACAACCTAGTTACAAAAGAGAAAAGGAAAGAATAGTAAGAGCTGAGTAGTTCTTGTTGCTCATTAAAATAGCATCTGTAGCAGAATCTATAAACTGTTGGTGCTACCCTCATCATCTATTCCCTTCTCCATACACGGAAGACTAATAAAACAGCCAGATTGTGTCACACTAGTCAAATGTCACCTCTTCATCCCCTGCCACCTTAAAGTCTTAGTTTCTTTGGGGTCACCACCTGGGAGGTAGCATAGTACTGTCGAAACAGGCTTGAATTTCTAATCACAGCACTCGAGCTCAAATTCTGACTGCGATGTACCTTGTATGACCTTGACCAAGTCATTTCATCTTTGGGGATCTCAGTGTTCTCAACTAAAAGTGAGAAGATCAGATTACATGGCCTGTGCAATGCCTTTGAATTATTACCCTCTCCATCAGTATACGGCCTCAGTCAGGGCAAAGGGCTCACTTTTGCCAATTAATGCCTTTTGAATGGACTCTCGCTATGGTTCTACAGCCACTCAGAAAGGCTCCCCTTCAGCAGACACTCGATAGAGCAGAGCCAATTACAGAAAGTCTGCCCATGCTCCAAACTGGAGAGTGAGACCCTCCCTTCCCACAAAATCATGGACAGAAGCAGGCTAATCAGCCTCTTCCACATGGGGCTTGACAGCTGTTCCTGAACACCAGTCTGTGGTCCCCATCCACCATTGCACTCATAGCCTTGATATCACGACATGTTTGGGGTCTTCCCATAGGACTCATAGTAGCATATGTTGCCACCCAAGTTAGAGAAAGCAGCACTTCTCTGCAACTATAATTTCACAACCACAAACATGTGTGTCCACAGCAGTATCATCATCATCATCATTAACCAGATGTTGTATTTACAAGAACCGACTCTGCTACAGTGTGGGGAATCTCTGGGTCCAGTCTCTGAGTTAGCAGAGTCCCACCTCAGACTTTGGACATCATTCTTCTTAAACTACCCTCAGTTCTGGAATCTTCTCCTCTCTCACTTACACTCAGTTCCTTCTAGCCCATGTTTCTCTTGATCGACGGAAAGGAACCCTTGAATTTGAAGCTAGAGGACTTGGTTCGAATCCTGCCTCTGCCCCAGGAAACCTTAGGCAAATCATTTCATCTCTCTATGCCTCAACTTTGTCTTCTGTAAGATAAAAAAGAAAAACCAGATGACCCTCTAAGATTCCCTCTATGTCTAAAGCTAAGATCATATGATACCAAGTTCTCTTTCTAACTCTACCTTCCTCTTACACCAAAGCCACTTCTCTCTCCTCTGCAAGAAGAGGCTTTATTTGGCTCTACTTTTCTAGTTACTTCTCAGCACCTTGGAGAAAGGACCTTGAGAGCATTTGGAGCCCAAGATCAAAACAGTGTCAAACTGACCTTTCCCTTCTGCTTTTCCTAATGTGGAATACCCATCATATTCATGCTACAAACTCCATTCCAAATCTAACTTAGCTAAAAACATACTGATTTCTCTCACTATGTAGAGACTATATATATATCACAATTATTCCTTTTCCCAACATATCCAATTCAACCTTATCTTTTAAGGATCAGCTTTTCCCCCAAATAACTTCTCGTCCTTCATAAATTAGCATTTACAATGAAGGAACATTATCTGATAGCTTCTGTGTGCTGACAAAAGGATTGTGCTTAATACATACATACAGTGGCAAAGGGTGATCGTCATCACACTCCCAAATACTAAGAATGATGCAGAGATACATCTACTTCACCTCAAAAGAAATGTTCTATCTCTCCATATAGGTGGTTTATTGTTGCCTTTTTTTTTAAATAAAGTCATCCAGTTGACTAAGTATAACTAAAAACAATTTCAGTTGACTAAAAATAACCTTAATATTCTTTTAAAACTAATTATGAACATATACATATGCGGTCATCTCAAAATAAATGCAATAATTTGTAACACTTCTTATTGAAGTACTAAAAAAAAAAAAAGTACACACACATCCAGTGGGGACTGACACATTTAGTCATCATGTTGCTTCCCTACTCCTCTTCATCACATAGTAGATTAAGTCAAAATTCTCATTCTGCTATTCATGCCAACTTAATCTCTTCAGCCTTCTCTCATACTTCTCTCTACTGAGTGATTTCTACTCTATTCTGAGGTCAGATCTGTCTCCCTGCTGTCCCTATACAACCAAGCTCATTTCCATAGCTCTCATTTTCATGACTGTGCTCTTCATGCTTTCACTCCATTTTTTTTCCCATATAACTTTCCAGATGACCCCAGTCAAGATGGCTCTCTAGGAAATAAGACACTGAACTTGGAGCTGGGAAGATCTAGGTTCAAATCCTGCTTCAGATACTCCCTAGCCATGTGACCCTCTACAAGCCATTTCAACTTCTTGAGTCTGTTTAGCAATCCATAAGATGAGGAGCATAAAATCAGTGGCCGTGGAGTTCCTTCCCTGGCCTAGATCTCTGACGCTCCATTCCCTTACTCACCAGACACAGTAACTGTTCCCTATATCACATTATGGCATTTAATTATATACTGTCTTTTAAAGCCACATGATACCAGGATGTGCTATAAAGAATCAAGCCCATCCTTTTCATTTTATAGATGAGCAAATTAGCTCCAGTGAGACTGAGTCTTTTCTAAGTAGTTCATGAGTAAAAAAAATTTTGAAACAGGTCAGCAACTCTCATATGCCCTGTTTGGAATCTCCCCAAGGCAGCTAGTGCAGTGCAGAGCATACAATAGGCACTAATGGAGACCTATTGAACGGAATTGTTACTACAAACACTCTCAGTTTCTCGTTTATTGGAGTGGGAGGGGGTAGAAGTATAATGCAATATGCGTACAGAAAATTAACACACTCTACTCTGAAGACAAGAAGAAACAGGTTATGATATTAACATGTTAAATGCCCAAACAGGCAGCATTTTATCAATCTCCTGATCTTAAGATGTCTTTCAAACACTGTGTTCACAGATACTGGAATTCCAAAAAAGTGTTTGTCAAAGGGGAGTGGTGGTGAAATCATGCCCGTTGTTCTGGCTTCTGCTGGTGCATTTGAAAACGAGAGCAAATAAAATCCCTTTCTGAAAGCCGTAAATAAAGTCTAGTGATTCATTTTGATTGACCTCTGGGCTCTGCCTACTCGCCTTTCACTAGCCCCCTACAGGAATGCAAATCACTCATTGCCTTAACACCTTCAGATCAGTACCAGCTGGCAGACAAATGGAGAAGTCCAAGGGTGAAACCTACAAACGCAAATGCTTCAGGGATTTTTCCACAGATTCCATTTATTTATTTATTTATTTTTATTTTTTACAAAATGCAGTACGAAAGTAAACTACAGCAGAAAGAGATAACTCACAGATGAATATTGCAGCAAGCATAGAAGGAATGGAAACCCTGCTACCCAACTCCACGTGAGAAGGGTTCTCTTACCTGGTATTAGAACAAATTCTGAATGCCACTGTTAAATTGTAGATAGAGCTTGTATCTTTGTGACTCTGTAATCTGTAAAGGAAGAATAAATTAGCTATAGCAACTGCAGAAAACACATTCAGTATAAGGATCAAATTTCCTTTTACCAAAAACTAAACTATAAATCTTTCATTTTACTTTTGAAAGCTGTATGGATTGGAGCTGCTTGTCTTTAATGGCATGCCAGTACAAAGAACTAGTATTTTTTTAGACTCGGGCATTTGCAGAGCCTTATTACAACTAAAGAATAGCAGAAAAGCCTAGGTTCTCCTCACCCCAATGGGGGAGGGGGAAGAAACACTTGTGTACCAAGTTACCAACATTTGGCAGGAAACATTTTAGCAAACAAAGACTGAGAGTAAGAGAGAGCATGCAGAAATGAAATTCTAAGACAGAGAAAAAGGACCATTTAGCAAATATTTTGAATCATCTCTATTCAGATCAGCATACTAGATGCTGAGGGAGATACAAAAGTCAAATAAAGTAGGCAAACTATCTACATGGAGACTATACTATTTCCATGGTATAGTGGAAAGAATTGAATTCGGAGTCAGAAGGCCTGGGAACAAATCCCACTCCTCTGTCCCTAAAGCTATATGACTTTGGTCAAGTCATGTAAGTTCTCTAAGTCTCAAGTTTCCTCATCAATAAAATAAGGGGGATTGGATTTAAATTTAAATTAGTTCCACTTTCCCGTTCAGTTCTAAAGTTCTGTTATTCTAAGACCTAAGCAGATATATGATATGATAGAAGTATACTGGAGAGGTATAAAACAAAGTGTTATGTGTGGTGCAAAGAAAAAGGTCATTATGACAAGGTAATTTAGGGAAGACGTGGAGAAGGAAATGACATGTGAGCTGGGTATGAGCTTAACAGGTAAAGGCTGGAAAAGAACACATTCAAAGCACGGCACATGGCAAAGAGTACATGGATGTAAGCAATGTCAATAAGACTTTTTCGAAAAAGACGAGGACCTTGAATGTCAGACAAATAAGTTTGAACTTTTCTCTATAAGCAATATAGAGTTGCTAATGATTTTTGAATCGAAGATCGACAAGATCAGATATGGGCAAAAACAATATGGCACAGATAAAATGCTGGGCTTAAATGTTACCTTACTTTGAATCTTTAGCAAATACTGAACTAGCTGTATAACCTTTTTAAGCTCAAGCAGCCCCTGTCCCCTCACAAATAAAATTGATATAATAATACCTGCAGGACTCATTTGTCGTGATGACCGAAGGATTGCTTTGCAAACTTTAGAGCCCTTCTCTGTAACTTGCTTACAACCGTGACCTATGAGTTATCCCCCTTTTCAACTTTTCAGAGATTGGAGTGTTCTGCTCACAGGATATTCGTGTTAAAAACATAAACTTTTGTTTCAGGGAGAAGTCTAGGATTATTAAAAGAATCCAATTCCTTATGTAGTTGTAGAAAATAAACATGTGTTGGCCTGAAGAGATAGAAATGATACTTCAACAAATTCAAATTCAATAAACATTGATTAAGCCCCTACCATGGAAAATATCATATTAGGCACTAGGAGAGATATAGAGAACAATAAGGTTCCTGACCTCATGGAATTTACAAATGAGTAGGAGAATATGACATTTGTACCACCACCACCAAGTCTAAAAAATTAAAAATGAGTACATTAAAATGGTATAATGTGCTATGCAATGTCTGAAAGAGGAAAGATCACTCCTGTTAGGGATAAATACACCCCCCATTTCCTCCCTGCTAAATCCAATGACTGTTTTTGTTTCAATCCTACTTGACCTCTCTGCAGAAAATGATCATGGTGACCACCTTATGCTTTTTATTACTCTTCTCCCTTAACTCCCATGACACTGGATTCTTTGACTTGATGACTAGCCCTTCTCTGTCTCTTTTGCTAGCTCCTCATCCCATTTTTTAAAGCATTTATCAAAATTCTATCTTGGTCCTCTACTCTTACTTTTTATACATTCTTCCTCAGTGGCATCATCCACAAATATTGTTTCAATTATTACTTCTATACAGATGGCTTCCAAATTTGTATCGCAACCCTAAACATTTCCCAGTTCCATATTTCCAGCTTACTGATGTTGGCCTTCACTGATGTGTCCTGTTAATATCTTAAAAATTGACAGAGAAAACTGAAATCATCTCCTTTAAAACATTTCCCTTTCCCACAAGTTTTCTATATCTTGGTACCACGTAACCACCATGCTTGTCTCCTAGACTCATAACCTTAGAATCATCTTGGATTCTTTTCCTTCATCCAATTAAGACCAAGTTCTATCATTTCCAGCCCCAAAACAGCTCTTACAATGACATAATATAGTGACAAGGTTGGAGTGGAGAACACCTGAGCTCAAATTCTGCCTCTGATACTTACTAGTTAGATTATTAGCTCCTCCAGGGCAGAGACTGATTTTTGCCTTTCTTTGTATTGTGAGTAACACAGTTTCTGGTGTATGCATGGTAGGTGCTTAATAAATGCTTACCGACTCATTGACTAGTTTTATGATGCTGGGCAATTACACATAATCTCTTTGGACCTCATCTGTTAAATGTAGATAATAAAAATGGTAGATAATAATAAATATAGATAAAATGGCAACTTAACTCATGGAAGTTTTGTGAAGATCAAAAAAGACAAAATGAAGGACTTTGTAAACCTTAAGGCTCTATACAAAGGTTAGCTTTTATAATCTCCCACTATATCAACCTGTCTTCGAGACCATCAGTATACTACTCAATAGGCTGTTACAAAAACAAAAACAAAAAACAAAAAAAAAAATTCTATTTAGTCTTTCCATCTCCAATCTCTTCCCTCTATAATCTGCCTTTTAGGGGCAGCTAGATGGCACAGTGGATAGAGTATCAGCCCTGGAATCAGAAGAACCTGAGTTCAAATTTGACCTCAGACACATAATAGTTACTAGCTGTGTAACTCTGGGCAAGTCACTTAACCCCAATTGCCTTGTAAAAAAAATATACATATATAATCTGCCTGCTACACTACTGAATAGGTAATATTCCTAAAGCACTGATAATGAATGTGTCAGTCCTCTACTAAAATATCATTGTGCCTAAAGAATAAAGTGTAAATCCCTTGACATGACATTCAAGGCCCTCCAAACTCTAACTCCAATCTTGTTCTCTAGTCCGATCTCATACAAATCTTCTATCCTCCTCCATTCTTGTCTTGCTTTCTCCCATCTCTGTGCCTAGACTCACAGAACTGGCTCACTGTATCCATATGTGAAAATACATTCATTCAAGACCAGAATGTCACCTCCTCCATGACACCTTCCCTGATTTCATTGTCCCCACCAAATAAAAGTGATTTATCACAGCACTTCCCCTGGTTCTTCCAATACATTCTACCTTCCTATCTTATATATTTATGTGTGTGTGTGTGTGCGTGTATATATATACACATATATATATATATACACACACACAAGTCATAGATTCTCTCTCTCCCCATTAAATTATTATACTACCTAGCTCTTGATCTAATGTTTTCTCAAGTTAGAATGACAGGAGAAAAAAACTCTGCTTAGATGAGACCATATCTAAAACACTGCATTCAGTTTGGGGTGCCACATTTTGAAAAATATATTGAACAGAAGCTGATGAATGAAACTGTATATAAGGAGAAGAGAAAAGAAACATGAATATGAAAAATTCAGAAAAGCATAAGAAGATTTAAATGAAATGATAGTGAAATATAAAAAACCTGGAAAAGTTCATACATAATCACTCCAAATATAGAAATGGAAAAGAACCCTAAGAAAAAGTCAAACACTACATGATTAGCCCTAAAGAAGAGAATTTATCAATTGTCACTCAAGTGAAGAGATAAGGAAATTCACCTTTGTCTTTTCAAAGAATTCTATTATTGAGAATATCTTTCTTAGATACATTTTCCCTGCTGAATTAGATCACGAGATCTTGCCCAAACTTCTCAATTTTTTGAAAACAAAAGACATTAATAAAAATTACGTTAAAAAAGTCAATAAATCATCAGGATTGCATGCCACTTTGTGTTTTCAGGCAAAGTTTTTTCTTTCAGATATGCACCCCCCCCAAATCGAAATTTCAGGTCACACTATGTCTGACATTTCCTCAACTACTATCATGAATTCTAAAACAGCGTTCATCCCAAGGTTGCCATCGTTCTATTTCAGCAATCTCTTCCTCCTTATTCATAAAAATTAGGTCCAGAATAACAGTTCCTTTCATCTTTCCTTCCCAATTCTAAGGAATTAAATTTTCATTAAGGCAAGGCAAGTTTCATTAAGACAAGGCAAGGCAAAAAAGTACCAGCTATTTTGGAAGAGCTACAGATTTATGAGAGATCAACAGAGTAGTAAAATATAAGCATATGCCATCTAAGTGGAAAATGTGTATTTGGTTGGCTAGAAACAGCTCCATTCATTCTGGAATGAACCCCAGAGCATCAACCAATAAAGTACTCATGCTGCCTGGTCAAGCACATGGGAAGGAAGGGACTGGTAACTGTGTTCTTAATCTTTGCTAAAAGGCAATGTTTATGAAACATAAATATGCTTCCATCTTTTTCCCCCTAAAATGACTGAGAATCTTCAAATACTTTCTAGTTTAAACCAACTCCAGACATGTGTAACAAAGCAAAAGAATCTTTCTCTTTCTTCAAAGTGCACCTTGAGGAAGAATGAAGGACCAACCCAATGCCAGTGTTGCCACTGTAGCCTAGAAGAAGCAAATCCCAGTGTGGGCGTCAGGAGGAGGAGTCAGAAACCTGATTGAGATCTGAACTCTTGTTCAACTTTCTTTCCTTAAGCGACAGTAAAATGTAATGCATCTGTCATCCTGCACAAAAATACAGTTTTGTTTCATGCTATCTTTATCTGAGGATCTTGAAGGAGAACTTGGCACACTGGTGTCCACGAAGACCTGCAGCTGCTGCTATAAACACTTAAGTATTCGAAAATCTGATTTCAAATAAGCTGTTTTCATCTTACTCAATAACAATACATCTACTTCAAACATTATAATTT